CGCGCCCTCAAGACATGGCTTTTTCAGCAAGCGGACCTGGCCTAGGGAGGATTTTATACTGGGTTCATTTTAAGGAATTCGAAATAACACAACTTTAAAATTTGGTTTAATTCGGTTTTACAGGGGGGGATTGTATATATGCCTTTGTTTTAAATATGTTGTGAGCCGCCCTGAGTCCCGTTGGGAGAAGGGCGGGATACAAATTAAATAAAATAAATAAATAAATAAATAAACCACTGTGTTTACTCCTGGATTATCTCAGCACAATAAGAATGTGCACACTCTGACAGATTCTTGGTTCGCTCACTTAAGAAACAATCGGAAAGCTCACACTCACACACGCAACTTACTCATTCCGTATTTCCGGGTCGTCGTGGCAGGAGTGACACATGGCACTGAAGCGGGACACAAAGAAGTCGTAGCGACGGTGATAGGAAGGGGTGTCCTCCTCAATGTTTGCAAACTTCACAAACTGCAGGAGAGGGGGGGGAAGCGGAGGCCAGCCACAAGATTAGCAACAGAGCAATGACGAGCTCGGAGAAAGTACAGGATAGTACTCAGCTTACGACCCCAACAGGGCGCGAAACTTCTGTAGCTCAGGGAGTTTTGTTCCATTTTACGGCCTTTCTCGTCACTGCCGCTAAGTGAATCGCTGCTGTTGTTAAATTAGTAACATGGTTGTTAAGTGAAACCAGCTTTGTCTCTTTCAGTCAGCTGAACAAAACAGTTGGGGAATACAGGTAGTAAGTCCTTGACTTACGACAGTTCTTTTAATGACCGTTCAAAGGTTACAATGGTGACTTGACTTATGACCGTTTTTCACAGTTACGACCTTTGCAGCATCCCCGTGATCACGTGATCCAAATTCAAATGCTCAACAATTGCTTCATACTTATGACGGTCGCAGCGTCCCAGGGACCAGGTGATCCTCTTTTGTGTGACCTTCTGAGAAGCACAGTCAAAGGGGGAAGCCGGATTTACTTAACGACCGTGTGACTAGTTTAACAACTGCAGAGATTCACTTAATAACAGTGGCGAGGGAGGTCATAAAATGGGGCAAAACTCATTCGGCACAATTTCTCACTTAGCGACAGATGTTTTGGGCTGTGGTCGTAAGCCGAGGACTTATACCAGGCGTAGGCCACCTTGGCTCTTTTATGACTGGTGGACTTCAACTCCCAGAATTCCTGAGCCAGCCATGCTGAGGGGAAAGGGAGAGGTTTCCATGCTGAGCCAGGCTGGCTCAGGAATTCTGGGAGTTGAAGTCCACCAGTCATAAAAGAGCCAAGGTTGCCTACCTTGACTTACACCGTACACCGGGGTGGGGGGGAGAGATCTGAAGAAAGGTCTCCCTGTTTCTGCCTTCTTTCTCCCAGTTTCCTCCAAGGGTCCCGTGGGAAGCAGGCGTCCCCGGCCCCAGACCGCGAGGGAGCCGAGCCCCGAGGAGGGTGGGAGAGCTCACTCACTGAGTTGGTTCCCAGGACTTGCAGTTCGGGGTCTCCGGACTCCAGGAGTTTGGCCACCATGTGCAGGAAGCTCTCCACGAAGGGCTTGATGCTCTGCGAGTGGCAGGCCATGAGCAGCTGGTCCAGGGCTTCCATCGCGATGAAGACGTACCTGGGTGGCGGGAGAGGGGAGAGAGAGAGAGAGAGATGCTCAGCCCTTCCGGGGTCTCCTCTGGACGCATCCGGCAGCCTGGACTCTTCTGCCAGGCCCGCCCGAAGGACGGGCTCTGCCTCCCCTTTGACAGGAGGGGTCCGGGGTCTCCAAAAGATAAGAGGAAAGGAGGGTTTTTTTTCTGTCCGAAAGAATAAGGGGAAAGCAATAAGAGTTCCTACTCTGGCAGGGGGTTGAAG